AAACAAACATTTTCTTCTCTTCAAATCTCTAAACTACCTATTCAGAGATCATTCACAAGTAAGAATTAGAAAAGTTTTGTCGATGTTAAGTACTTCAAATGAATGTGAACATTGAAATGTCGACCAAACTGTTACGAACCTCGACTCTTTCAAATGCATTAGTTGGCTCCGAAATGGCTCTTCTTGGGTTTGACTGTCCTTTAGGAGCAGAATTCAATCCCAACTTCTCTCGTTGCTCCGAGTGATTGGCGCTTCTTCGGACTGGATCATCTGTGTATCATGAAGCATATTGTATATGACTATATCATACATTCCAACATTAACCAAACTTGAAAATGTGAGAATATAAAGATAATATACTAACCTGCAAATAGGGTTGGGCCTTTTATTGTGCCGGTCTTCTTCGGTTTCCATGTTTTGGAGAACATTCCACCAAGACTTCCCAAAAGCTTTTCTCCCTATAAACACCAATAAGAAAGTTAAAACAAAGCAATTTCCAAAGGGTCCACATAACAAACAGCAACCTTGTTTTCACTAAGGTAAAAACGGCACAAGGAAGGTTCCTATATGGAGAGCTAAGATAATTGGATTTGGATTCTTTACAACCACGATTCCATTAGTCTTGGATCTCAACCACTGGACGAAGATCACAAACTCGTATATTTAGTAGTATTTTAAACTCAATTTGACCAAGTCAATATACAAGCCGTCTAATTTTCATCCAACAATCCAGATCCGTTGACTTCAGGCATTTGGCCATTGCAAAGAACCTAGTCGAAGTAAGTTTACATTAAATAACTACGAAATCACACGATCAATACCCGACTTAAATCCTAGTCAATGCACGATTCCATTAGTCTGGATCTCAACCATTGGACGAAAATCAGAAATCGTAGTATTTTAAACTCGATTTGACAAAGTCAAAATATGAGCCGTCTGATTTTCATCCAATGGCCGAGATCCGTTGACTTCAGGCATTTGGCCATTGCAGAGGATTCTGATCCAAGAAACTTTGCATTAGTTAACTATGAAATAACACGATCAATACCCGACTTAAATCATGGTCAATGCCCGCAGCAATATCATGACTCCTTGTAATCTGCTCGCCTTGATGATGCAACATAACCAACGTCTTGGAAGCCTCCTCTCGCATCTCCTCAGCTATCTTCCGACAATTGTTTACCGATTTGGTAGTCTCTTCAGCCTTGTAAACAGCATAGTTCTCCAAATCCTCCACTGACTGACTCTCCAACCCCCCAGAATCACGGAAATCGTTCTTATACATGTTCCGAGTACCGTAAGACGGAGCATAAGAAGACGATGAAGACCGGCCATGATGAGCATCACCATCATCAAATGGATTGGTATTAGTTTCTCCCTGAACTAGGTTATACTCAGAAGAAATCTTCCTTGAAGGTTTATACTTTCTGTTATCCTTTTTCTCTTCATCAGAATCAAAGGGGTTGTTATTCTTAGAACTAGGTTTGGCATCTTTTAAAGGAGATTTCTTTGAACCAAACATTCTCACTCTTTCTCTAAACAAAAAAACAACAATTTCTCTATGAAAACCTTTGAAGAAACAATGATCTTTTTGTAAAAATTTTATCCTGTGAAAAATCAAGAACAAAAATAAATAAATAAATAAACTAAATATCTTATCAAAAAACACTGTTATTCAATTTCCATCAAAATTAAATTTTGAAGATGATAATACATACAAACCTAACTCAAAAGAGATTAAAATAACAAAAATTAATATGGGGTGATGAAAATTTGCTGTTTCAAAAAAACTACAAAAATGATAATTTATGAATCATAGTAGAAAAAGGAACAAGTGATCAACAAAAGCAACCAAAACCCATGTCAAAAAATTGAAAATTTAACTGAAAAATCGATTATTTAGATGAAAAAGGAAAATAGAAACGGATTAAGAAAACAACAGAAGATGAAGAAACGAGAGAGTTATAGGAAGAGAAAAGGAAGAGGAGTATGATACCTGAAAAAATTAAGTGCGTGTGTTGAAGTTAGAGAAGGGAATGGGGAGGATATAGTATGGTTTGAGGAAGTTGTGCGAAATCGCGTTGAGAAAAAGTCATAGCAGATGTAAGGAGAATTTCAAAGAAAGGCAACAAGAGGAAATTGAACTTTTGAAACTTCACTTTGGACTTTTGTTGATTTGGTCTTTTTGTTTTAAATCAAGGAAAAACAAATAAAAATATATTAAACTAAGTCTATTAGAATAAATAAATAAAGTAATTGATCGAATTTAATTATAATAATATTATTATTTAATAAGAATCAACTTGACTTATTTTTTGTCCACACTTTTTGAAGGCTACTTTGTACATTTCAGAGGATAGGATGTTAATTCATTATAGTAATAAATCACAAATGTGCATAGATTTTAGATATAAATCTCTGAAGATATTCCTATTACATACACTCAATGCTTTCGTGAGTGAGTTATTTTATATTGTCTAAAAGTATGTCTGCATATGTATCTTTATAATAATTTTTGTTTTAAAATTTTGTTAGTTTTACATAAATGTTCTATTTCGCGTCAGATCATTTTCCTCTTTCTTTTTTATTTGTTACACTTTCAAAAATTCTTCAAAGAGCTCGTTGGTAAGAATTTTTGTATTCTCTCAGTCTATGAAGCATGAGTACTTCTAAAATGATAAAATTTGTGATTTTCTCAAATATCAATATAGTATATTTATGTGTTTTAATTTTATCTTAACATAATTTTTGGTTTTCTTAATCTTTTATAGTGGTGTTTTGCTATGAACCTAACAATTTAGTTCTTTACCTCATACATTTTATAGAAAATTCTTATTTCTTATTAACGTACTCATATCTTAATTTTATTTTAAAATGTTGTATCCTGTACTAGTACCAATACCCGCATCGGGTACCTTACGCGTACCTATGCATAATTGTTGGGGTTGGTTGCATAGGCGGAGCCAACGTCCGGCCAGGTAGGGCAGTTGCACGGGCTCAACCGCCGACAATATTTTCCGGTTTAACCAAGAACAGGTGCACCACTTACCTTTTCCAGTTGCATTTTCATTTCAATATTCATTTCGTTCCCTCAATCTCATTTCATTTAAGATTTACTTACTCATAAGTTTCTCTATTTTTTTTTCAATTCTTTCATTTCATGATGTTGAATTATTGTTGTTGTTGATGATTGTTGTTGTTGCAGGTTGTGGTTTACGAATCGGTATCAAATTGTTGTCGTTTCCACTGTTTTGCAACTTGCACACTAAGTGTTCGGTAAATTGTCTCAACCAAGTTTCTTTTCCTTTTTAGTTTCTGTTTCTTACGAATGTGTTCGATAAATTACTATTAGCTTCAGAAAATCACCTGAGATGGCAACTAAACTTTAGGTATTAGCAATTCATCGAGTTTTCAAACACACAATTTGTTGTAGGAATTCAACATTGAGAAGTTGCAGTTGGTTGAGGCTGATAAGAAGAAGATCCGTCAAGAGTACGGATGCAAAGAGAAGCAAGTCGATGTTCAGAAGAAAATGTAGTGTACTCTATGCGTTGCACTTGATTTTATTTTTTCATCTCTAAATTCAAATAACTCATTTGTGTGTTTTATTAGTTGTCATATACATATGAAGATTTACACATTCAAATTGTTTATGGTGATGAAGCTCATTATTTTGTTAGAGTTCAATTCACGGTTTCAATTCCGAATAGGTTTATTCTGTTAGAGTTCAATTCACGATTTTGATTCCGATTAGTATTCTGATATGTTGTTTTGTTTGTTTGCTACACTAAGAAGTACTTTTCTGCGTCCTTGTTTGTTTTGATTTTCTAGTGATACGGATTAAATCTAATTTGCAATTGATACCGCGTGCTGAAATTCAGATGATTTTGGATGAGGGTGAGTTTTTTCTCTAATTGTTGGAAACTTTATTCCAGAATGCTAAAACCTATACTAATTATGTATTTTTCTAAATCGTGATGTCCAGGGACTTACTTGTGTGATTGTGTTATATATTTATGATTGATCTCTATCATTGCTCCTTGTGTGATTATGTGACTTGATATTAAAATCTAAGATGGGAGGAATGTTTTAAATTGTCACAGTAAAAATTGTTGATGTCTTGATTGCTTTGTGTTTCAGAAACTTTCAGTATACAACACACAAGCTGTATAGTTTATATTATGATGTGTATTAGAGCGGTAAGAATATGGTGAATCAAACAAATGCTACGGCATCATCGAATCAAAAGTTGGAGATTGTATTCAGATTAAAAGTTTCACCTATAAATACATTAAACTAAAAGTTTTGGTGTTCCGATTTGGCATTTTGTTCTTCTAATTGAGATTATGATTTGTCCATCTTTCAATTTATTATCGTTAATATGTTTGATTGAGATTATGCTGGTATTTTCTCATTTGTAGTAATTGTTGTCTTGATTTTGTTAAGAACTTACTTTCCTATCCCACCCTTTATTCTTGTCTTTTTATCATGATGATGTAAAATTTAACATTGCAGAGCCGTTATATGAGGTATCGTGTGTAACCGTTTCTATTTACTATTCAGCTGGAAAAATCAATGACATTGTTTCTGTTGCTGACTAGTCATTTGTTTGATATAGGGAATGTCGGGAGCATACAATGAGGATGTAACTTTGAAAGTGTATCCAAAATGTAAGATTGTGGCATGTGAGGATTTTGAAGCTGCATTTAAGGTTCCATCATTCAATTTATGACTTACTTGATGCTTTAGTTTATGATTTATCCTAATTAATTTAACTTCAAATATATGGACATGACCTTTGAAGATCACTAAAGGATTGCATCTTCAAATATAATGAATGAATGAATGAATGAATGGGGAAAATAAGTAGTTTTCTTCTCTAGATTGAGAAAACTACCATCATGCTTGAAAGGCAATGGTTGTCCTTAATTAATGATAAAAGTGACATACATGTTTTTTCATTCCACTCAGATGGAGAGAGGCCCAATTAACAATACAATATGAACATTAGTGTCCAACAGCCTAATATGCAGCAAACAGTAAAGGCTGGCTTGGCAGAGAGTCTTGGAATATCACCAAAGGCTGGCTTTGATATTGTCGGTGTTGACAGATCCGTTGAAAGAGCTTTTCTAGCAATGAATATGATCAGGTATAAATTACGCAATAAGATCAATGACGTGTGGTTCAATGACTTGATGGGATGTTACACCGAGCTAGAGATATTCAAGTCACTAGATGATATTGATAGTATTCGAACATTCACCACAAAGAAGTCTCAGAAAGAACATTTGCCTTATGATTTTATTTAACACGCTATTTTAAGGTTATGTTTCATGATCTCTTTCATCTCTTTTATTTTAGGCAATTTATATATTATAATGTGAATTTGCGGTCTTAAAATTTTTTGCCCAGGCTATATAATTTTTCTGGCTCCGCCACTGGTTGGTTGAAAATATACATGTTGAAGAAGTTCCATATTGCTTGGTTTTGTGAATGAAGAGAGAGTTCAATGTTATATATATAGGATTCAAGTTCTTTATTCTAAGATGCACCAGTCAAAACACTTTAAGCTTGTATTTGACTTTCTTTATTCTCTCATACTCTTGTTTTAGAGTGTTGTGAGATATAGTTAAATATTATTTTTGAAGGGTGTGGATGTACTGGGGGCCTGGGTTAGTTGAGAGTATATTGTGTGTTGTAATAATTTCACATAGTGTTATTCTCTGGTTGTCTATTGACAATGGTCGTGGTTTTTTCTCCAGTTTTGGAGTTTCCACGTTATGTTCTTGTGTTGTGCTTGTGTTTCTATTTTTTCTCTATGCTTTGTTTTTTCCTAACAACTGGTATCAGAGTCTGGTTCGATCAAGGGATAAGTTTTCTTAGTATGCTCTGTGGTTGCAGTTTTGTCTGATTTTCCACATCAGAAAAGAAGGGCAGTGTTGTGAAAGAGTTGTTGAGTTGCAGTCACAAATTCCGCTGTGCGGTTTGGGCTAGAGAAAATTGATGGAAGAATTATTTTTTGACTTGTGGAAAGTTCAAGTCAAAGATGTGTTAATACAATCAAGATTACATAAGGTGAAAAATTATGTCGGTGGTTGAAGAGCTTCTTCCCAACAAGGAAGTTGTACCATAATGTTTTAACCTGATTTTCGACATGTGAAATTTTTTGAAGTGGTTTACCTTCAAGTGAAGTATACTCTTCTTTAGGTGGAGTATGATAGTTTTTAAAACTATGATTGTCGATGACGACAATAAAAAATTCTTGGAGTGGTTTAGCTTTAAGTGAAATGTATTCTTCATGATAAAGTATATGATTGTCGGTGATGACAACGTGAAATTCTTGAAGTGATTTATCTTCAAGTGAAATATATTTTTTATGAGAGAGTATGATAGTTTTTAAAACAATGATTGTCGGGGAAGACAATGTGAAAATTTTTGGAGTGGTGTAGCTTCAAGTGACTATACTCTTTATGGTGTAGTATGATTGTCGGTGTAGAAAATAAAAGTTTATGTATTATTTTCAATCAAGATGGAGATTGTTGGGGTTGGTTGAAAATATACATGTTGATACTCTTTATGGTGGAGTATGATTGTCGGTGAAGACAATGAAAGCTTATGTATTATTTTCAATCAAGGTGGAGATTGTTGGGGTTGGTTGAAAAAGTCTCACATGGCTTGGTTTTATGAATGAAGAGAGACTTCAACGTTATATATAGGATTCAAGTTCTTCATTCTAAGATGCACTAGTAAAAAACACTTTAAGCTTGTATTTAACTTTCTTTGTTCTCTTATAATTTTGTTTTAGAATGTTGTGAGATATAACTAAATATTAGTTTTGAAGGGTGTGGATGCACTGGGAGCCTGGGTTAGTTAAGAGTATATTATATGTTGTAATATCTTCACATAGTGTTATTCTCTGGTTGTCTATTGACAACGGTCATGGTTTTTTCTCTGGTTTTGGAGTTTCCACGTTATGTTCTTGTGTTGTAATTGTGTTCCTATTTTTTCTCTATGGTTTGTTTTTTCCTAACAACTCTTCAACATGTATATTTTCAACCAACCCCAAAATATCCACCTTGATAGAAAATAATACATAAGTTTTCATTGTTTTCACCGACTATCATACTCCATCATAAAGAGTATAACTTTCAGTAGATCGTATTTTGAAATTTTTGTATTATTGTTTAAATTTGTATATTGATAACATTTGAAGTTTGGATTTGTATTAATATATATATATATATATATATATATATATATATATATATATATATATATATATATATATATATATATATATATATATATATATATATATATATATATATATATATATATATATATATATATATATATATATATATATATATATATATATATATATATATATATATATATATGACTTCTTTGAATTACATTAATTGTATGATTATGGTTTTATGATATCCTTAGTATAAATGACCTAAAAAAATAAGTTTGTCTAAAAAATCTTAATTGGGGACAAACTTGCTACTCGGGAAAAAACTTACAAATGCAATCAGGAGTTATTCTAAAGATGCATCTACAAACTCACTTTAGAAAAATTGCAGAGATGGATCTTTAGAGTAACATTTAGGGTGAATGGTTCACTTTTGAAGTACAAAGTACTTTTAAGGATTACTCTGGATATGTATCTTCGTAATATTTTTTTGGATGAGTCTGTAAATGCATCTCTAAACTAGTTTTAGACAAATATGTGGAGGATGACCATTTTTGAAGCATTGTGTGCATTTAAGATATGCTCGGAGATGCATCTCCGAAATACAGAAAGGGGAAATCTTAGTTTCCAGTGTGTTCATCCTCACCTCCATGAGATGGATAAAATAGTGTCCTACATTTTTTCGGGGTGGACCAAGATATTAGCCCACACCCTTTAATGTGTTCACCCCCGTCCCGCTCTAGTTTTTTGTAGGCTATTGTGTACGTGGATATTAACATAAAATTTTACATTTTTAAATTTAAAATGTACAATGTCTGCATACTCATCCCATTTTACCATCATTTTTTTTATGGGACAAGACAATATTTTAAACTCGCATTCTCATCTATATTCGTCCCTTTCCTTTCTATTTTTTTTTTAAACTTTTGAGTCAGGGTTACCAACTCCAAATAAAATCAATTGGTTTTAAGAGATGTATTTGATTTTCTATTGATAGAGCGCATATTCTAACATGTAACATTAAAAATATTATATTTGTTTATCTCAAAAGAATGAAATCGGATTAATTATACAACTGTATCAAAAAGTGTATTGAATTGGGGTTTCAAAAGACGATTTTAATAAAAGAAAAATATTTTTAAAAAGTTTATCATTATTATATTAAATTTTTAGATTTCTTTTTTAAGATTATTTATTATTTAGATGTTTAAATTTGAATTTTAAAACATTTATAATATAAAATTTTAAAATACTTTATAAATGTTTAAGATTTAAAAAGAGTAAATAAAAAAGAAAATAAAAAAAATTAAATTCAATATAATTATTAAATATTTTAATAATAAGATGATTCTTGAATGAAAAAATAATAAAGTGATTTGAATTTTATATTTTCATAAATAATAAAGATTTAATGATCATTCATAAATCAATATCTTATTGTTCACGTTCTTAATGGATTTTTCATATTTTTCTACAATGTGATTTTAACATTATGTTCTTTATACATTTTTATTGTTTCTCTAAAATAATCGTTTTCTAATTATTAAAAGTATTAATGTGAATTGAATAAAATAATAATTCAATTAAAAGTAATAAAAATTATAATCATTAATAAAGTTTTAATAATATTAATAATACAAAAGTAACAAAACACAATATCTATTAAAAAAATATTTAAAGAATATAATTAACAACTTAGTCATATATTTAAAAACATAATTTTTAATTTAAAAAAAATTGAAAAGTTTTTTTTTTCCATAAATCTTTCATTTTATAGAATAATTTGACAAACCTCTATGATTATATGACTCCCAATATGATTATATAACTCCCAAGTGGATTGATCCAAATAGAAAAAAGATTTGTGACACCTAACTAAGTGGTTAGAAGTATAAAGAAAATAGGGTTGGTTTGGAGTTGCTCTTTCCTATTTTACTGGTGAAGAGTCACATTATAAAAATTCAAAATAGTCCTTCACTAATACGAAAGTATACTTTGTATGCATCCCATATATATTATATCTATTTGTAAGTGAGTTACACTCTTATTTTATCATAAATTAGTTTGAAGATGCATCTCCGTAAAAAAATATTGGAGTATACTTCCCTAATCACCTTTTAGGCAGTAAAATTTGATATTTTTAAAGAAATACACTGAAATAATAAATATACTGATGTAATAGACTATTTATAATAAGTATTTTGACTGATTGTGTGCATGCTGATTGATTGTGTGCCCGACTGTATGGAACATTGTGTTTGCCCTACTCTGTTGTAGCAACCACATTTCATGTGTTTCTAATTGTGTTACTTATGTTGCTACTCCTGTTTGCTCAGTGTGCTTGTGTGTAGTGTGTTTAATGCTCAATTTATGTTGCACATCTTGTATGTATTTGAAAATATTGTTTTGCTCAAATTTCCCAAAGAGGGAGATTGTTGTTCCTTTTGGATTGGTTGCATGATGCAGAACAACATAGTGTGTACAAGATGTTTTGGTGAAGAGAGGACACATGTTAAACATGATGTTCTAACATGTGTGTTACATTTGGCCCCTGTTGCTGCTATTGCATTTGCATGTCTTTTGTTTGTTTTTAGAGCGTGTTTTTGGATTTGTTTATGATTGATTTGTTTCTATCTTTTAGTAACTTAATTAATTAGATTTGTTTGATGACTTATTAATATAAAATTAAAAGATTTAGACATTTAAATTTGAATTCAAATACAATCAAATCTTGTTGCCGAGGTGTTTTGAAGAACAAATCTTAACCAAATCTCCACTTTATCTGTTGATCAAGTCTTATGCCCATTAGTGGAAAGGCCAGCTGAAGAATTCTATTTAAAGTGACTCAACTCCATCATTTAAGAAGACGAGCAAGTATTGAGGATTCCTAGTATTAGGGTTGTATTTGAGTCCTTTGTTTGTGTTGTTTATACACCACACTAGTTTCCACTTTCATATCTTAAGGCATGATGTTGGTTTCCTCCCCGGGTATTTGGATACAAGTCATATAGCTTGACCATCAGAGTATTTATCTTCCATTTAAAAAATAATCTAACCAATCAAACTATTTTGTCTCGCCCCCGTGGGATGTCATAACCTTTCCACAAATAA